AGGTGGGGATTACCAAAACTATTATCCAAGAGTGAGGAGGGGGTTTTTGAGGTTTCGGACATGTAGAAGAATGGAATAAAACAGAATGACTTCAAAAGTTAAATCTGTAGTGGAGGGAAGGTGGGGTAGGGGTTGGCCTAGGAAGGGTTTTGGGGGGAGGGGGTAAAAGGGGGTTTTTTGTGCGAGGGGGTTTAACTTCCAGCAAACATGATGAGTGTATTTGATAGGGTTAAAAGGGGAAAAAATGGTTTTTAATACCTGACGGGTGTTTGGGGGTGAACAAATAACATTTTTGAAGGGAATTTTATGGAAACCGGCAGGCCAGGCTTGAGTCCGGGAGATGGGAAGAAACATGTCTGCACTTGAAGGGGGGTTTTTAAGTTGAATTTTTTATAACTGTAGTGAAAAGCGGGCCCTTGGCAAACAGTGATGGAGTGAATGATGTTTTTTTTTTTTTTTTTGGGGCCACCCTGCCTTGGGGGGAAAACAGGCGTTGTTAATAAAAAAAAAATAAAAATACCTCAGATAATAAAAAACCCGCCCTTTTCACTGTATTTTTTTGGTCCAATCTTTTTTTAAAAGCTACCCCAAGGTCTTAGCCTCTTTTAAACCCTAATAAAAAGATTGTTCTATGCTTCAACATCTATTTGAAAAACCAATTTATTTTACCTATGTTTTTTTAAAAAATCAAAATTATCTAACTTAAATTTTTTATCCTGGTTTTTATTTGTTTTAAAAAATTTCAGCACTTTTATTTATTCACCTTTTTTGTGACTTTCACCCATTTTTTGTACTTTCGTGATATCCCCTCTCATTCTCCCTCTCTCAAAGGGAAAAGGGGAAAAGATGGGGTTCCAAAAGGCCTTTGTAAATTTTTGTTTTCATAAAAAGGGGGGGAACCCTTAAAACAGTGGTTTTCAAATTTTTGTTCCATAATTCCCCTTTTTTTAATTTTTTTTTCCCCAAATTGAAATTTATTTCCCCCCCATTTTTTTGTTGGGTGAGGAACCCAATTAAAGGGAAAACATAATTTGGGGTTGGAAATTTTTTTGGCCCCTTTTAATTTTCTTTACCATAACTTTTTCCCCCAAAAAATTTTTTTTTTGGGGGGTTTTCCCAACCAAACTTTGGGTGGGGGGTTTAAAAAAAAGGCCCCAACATCCTTTTAAAGGGTTTTTTAAAAAAACTTTTTTTTTTGGGGAAAAAATTTTTTCCCAATTTCAATTTAACAGTTTCCAAAAGGGGGAGGGGAAAAATTTCCCGGCCCTGGGGGAAAGGTAATTAAAAAGGGAGAATTCGTTTTTTGGAATTTGGAGGGGGGGCTTTCCCCTATTAAAAATTGATAGGGGGGTTCGGAAAAAAAAAACCATTTAAAAAATTATAGTTTTAAGGAACCTTTTCCCAAAATTTAATTAAAATTTTGGGTTTTTTAAAGGGTTTATTCCAGAAGGTAGGTTTTAAAAATAAAAGAATGGGGAAAATTTTTTTAATATAACATTTTTTTGGGGGGAAAAATAAATTTTGGGTTTCAAAAAGGCCCGTCTTAAGTCCGGGTGGGAAACCCAGTCCCCTCCCTTAATGAGGGGTTGGCTTTAAAAAATTTTGGAAACCCCTTTTTAAAGGGACTTAATGTGAATTTGGGGGAAAAATTTTTTTGGCCACCCCCTTAAATTTTCGATCCATTTTTTTTAAAAAAAAGCAATTAAAAATATTGTCTTCTGTATTATACTTTTGGGATACGTTCATTTTCTATTGTCCATTGTGTCAAAAATTTTTAAAATTTAAAATATATTTTGCTAATTAAAATGAAAAGGAAGTGGTAAAAAGAATTTAAAAACAGAATTCATTGTGAAAATGATACAGGGGGACCCTCAACCAATGGCTTTTTAATCCATTCCAAGGGCTTGCCATTGGCCCAAAAAATTCCCTTTGGTCGAGAAAAATTTTTCTCCAAAAGAAATATGTAAAAAGAATTAAAACCGTTCCTGGCACCCCAAAGTCGAAAAAAAAAATTTTTTTTTCATGAAATTAAAAACATTTTTTTATATGGAAAGGAATGGGAAAATGGGGAAAATAAACAATAAGAAATCCCCTTACCTTTTTGTGGGGTTGTTGATGAGTGATGGGGCCAGCAGCCCGGGGAAATTCGAATTGTTCCCATTGCTTAAAGGAGAAACCCCTTTTCCCGAAGGATTCAGGTACCAAGTCCTTTGGTGGGGGGTTTTTCCTCCCACCTTTTGGGTTTTTTAATTTCCCCTAGGACCAGCTTGAGAGGGGAAAAAGGGCCCCCCGTTGCAAAAAAAAATATCTGTCCCCCAAAAGCTCTGTTTTCAAGTTCCCTTAGGATTTCCCTAAAATGGGACAAAAAGTTTTCATTATACATTTTTTGCCAATGCAGCCCTTTTCAAAAATTTGGTGACAGGTAAAATTTTTCGATAAATGCTTGCACCTTTTTTAAACTTTTAAATAAAAACCCTAATCCTTGATTAATTTATCTTCCTTCCTTTCTCTTTTAACCTGCTCCCGAAAACATTTCCCGAGATGTAATCTGTTGCTGTTACTCCTAAACCCCTTGCAGGGGCTGGGAGTGGTTAAATTTTTTCCCCCGTAGTTCTGCACAAAATCTTCCCCACCTCCCTCACAAAAAAAAAATTCCCCAAACCCCCGGGGCTTACCCAATGACCAATAGCTTTCCCCCTGGGTAGCCTTTCCCGAGGGGTTTGCCCCCCAAAAACCCCCCCAACATCCCCTTTTTTCTACACATTCTGGCCACAGGGGTTTTCCCCCAAGCAGAGGGTTTAAGGTCCCCTTTTTGTCAGTTTCCCCCCCAAGCCTTAAACCTTTTAAGGTTTACCCCAACGGGATATTGAAAAAAATTCATTCCAAAACTCCTTAGAGTTTAATTGGGGGTCCCGAGGTACCTCAAAGCACTTTTTTTAAACACTGCTTTTGTGTAAGTTTTTTTATTTTTTGAAATGACCTGCTGGTTTCCCTGGCTGGGGGGAGAGGATTGTATTGGAGGGAAAAACTTTACCCCAAAAAGGGAAAACCAAAAACCCCCTGCAATTTCCTCTTGCAAGCATGAGGAAGAGCAGGGGCATTTTTCCATTACCAGGGGCACTTGATGGGAAAATTTTTTTTTCCTTAGGTTTTTTTGTCAAAAGGGGGCCAAACAAAACCAAAAAACCCGTCCCCGGAAAAAAAACCCCAGTGACCCAAGCCTTTTTTCTGTTTGATTTTCCCCCAAACAAACACAAAATTTCCCTTTACGAAAATTGTTTTTCCCGAACACTCTGGGAAATTTCAGAGTTTTTACACCTTTAAAAGGTTTTACTTTGAAAACCCCCACTCATTAAAAGACTCCCCGACGGAGCAGTCAAATACACCTTCGTAACCCCAAAAACTTCAAACACACTGAAACCCTTGGGCAGAGTACGCAACCTCCACCCCGCCTTGTGGCAATCGACTACACATCAAGGGGGGAAATTTTAGGTGCTCAGGAATGGGTCCCTTTAAGACGGTTCCCTCCTCTTGCATGACCCAAACCACGAACACTCACCATGAAATAAAATTTCCCCAGCGCTTTTCGGTCTGCTAAAGCTGGGGGGTGGCTCCAGTCGGGCCCCTGTAATTTCTCCTCTGGCCCCCTTTTTTCCTTTTGAAGCGAGAAAAACTTCCCCCCCTGGGAAGTCAATGCAAGATAGAAGAAGAAGACAACCTCCAACCGGAGGGCCCAAGAAAGAAGGAAGAAGAAGATGAACGTCACCCCCCTACCCGGGGGGCCATCGCTGGTCACCATCTGGAGAAGACCCGGCTGGAAGTACCGGCGAATCAACATGAATGAATGAATGAACCACTAGCATTACTACACAACATTAATGTCAGCCTGTCTTTCATAGGCTTATGTCCTGGGAGTGCCTTTTCCTCCTGAGTAATGTAGGTCCTGTTTTGCATTTTCTTCCAAAACAGGCCTGTTTCATCACAATTAAACACTTGTTCAGGTTTTAGGTTTTCAGTCTCTATGTATTCCTTAAAGTCCTTCACATATTTTTCAGCTGCATTTTTGTCTGAACTGGCTGCCTCACCATGCCTTACCACACTGTGTATGCCACTATGAATCTTAAATCTCTCAAACCAGCCTTTGCTGGCCTTAAATTCATTAGCAGCAGCACTATTTTGAGGCATTTTCTTAATGAGATCATCATGCAACTTCTTTGCCTTTTCACAGATTATAGACTGAGAAACACTATCACCTGATAATTGTTTTTCGTTTATCCATATCAATAACAGTCTCTCTACCTCTTCAACTATTTGTTGTCTCCGTTTTGAAAACATACTTGAACCTTTCGCAACAACAGCTTCCTTGATTGCCTGTCTATTCGCCAAGATAGTACTGATGGTTGAATGTGATTTGTTGTATTGCCTTTCCAACTCAGCCATATGCACTCCACTCTTGTATTTTTCAGTGATCTCCTCCTTCATTTCCATCGTAATTCTCACCCTTTTTAGCACAGGCTTGGCACTAGAAGCCTTTTTGGGATCCATGGTGGCTTATTTAATGGTTACAAGCACTAGAAATAGTGGAATAATCCAAAATATATGGGAGGTACTCGTTGAAACTGACCACAACAGCTTGTAAACAATGGCACACTGACTCTTGGAGTGGCTGGACCCCCTCAGGCCATGCTCTGGGCACATCGACATGTTCCGGACAAACGTCGTTGGTCAAGTTTTTCACCATTGGTTAAGGCATTTTTTCTACAGCAAAAAGCTCCGTTAGATGAAATTGCCATTACTTAATGCCGCCGTTAGTTGAGGGTCGACTGTACTTTCTTGCTCACTGGCAGTGATGTTTCCACAGCTATATGTTGCCCTGCTGGTCAGAGGGTAAATCTTTGTTTGTAAGTAATTAATTGGTTCCAAGGTACCATTATCATTACCATGGACAATTTTAAGTCAGGGACCTTCTGTACTTACAGTAGCAACTGACATTAAAGATTATTATGAATATAGAAAAAGTTTGTCTTTGCAGCTAAACTTCATGGTTGATCTTGAGTTTCTCATGAGCAACTACAAGGCTGGTAGAGCAGATGGCAAACCTCTGCTTGTAATGTATGGCCAGATGGAAGGTGACACCAAAGACTTTTCTTCAGTAACGTGTGTGAAGGTTAGTGTTTAATGTTAGATTCAAGGATGTCTGTTCTTATATGTTTGCATTTCTTAGGGGTTGGTTTACATAATGAATATATAAAGTCATGACTGTAATTTCTCATTTTATTTTTATTTCTTTTTTCTTACCTGAAATGAAAATGGTCAGGAGCCAAATTACTTCTGAAATATTCTGCATGCATGAGCCAATCTTAGAAAAAGAATTGGAAACCTAAAGTGTTCCAGACAGAAGTTTGGCATTGTTTCCTTGACTACCATGTGGGCTTCTATAATGTTTCTTGTTTTCATCGCTTACTACATTCTTAAGTAAATCAGTTTAACTACTTGGTATGTTCCAGTATGATCAGTTCTAGATATCATTAACATATTTTAAATTGAGTACAATAGACCATCGATTAACATGGTAGATAAGTTCCTGAAAATGCAGTGTTAGACAAATTCGTGTTAAAGGAACTGAAGGGCTTATGGTAAAAATAGGGTTATGTTCCCAGGACACCCAAAAATGCCAAACAACGTTTTTTTTTTAGGTCTCCAAATCATACTCAAATAAAAATGATAATGCAGTTGTTGTTCATTGTCATTATGGATTTTTTTCTGTTACTTAAGGCTACAGGTGCAACAGAAATAATATTTCTTACCTTAAACTGTGGGTGCTGGTTTTTGTCGATGATTGTGAACAGGGCCGGATTACCGCATAGGCAAACTAGGCATTTGCCTAGGGCCCCGCGCATTTGGGGGCCCCGCAGTCCAAGGGGTTCAGGGGCTCATCCAAGACTGCGCACATGGTGCAAGTACAAAGAGGTCCCTACCTAAAAAGTTCAAGTGTTTGGAGAGTAAAATTGATTTTTAAAAATTAATCAAAACAAAAATAAATAATGAAATAAAATAAAAATAAATAAACCTAACCATAGATGGCAACACTCAACACGCCTTTGTTTGCATCAGAACAGCTGTGTATTTCCCTAATGGGGGAGTATGGGAGCCCCCCCCCAATTTTCGGGGTTTTATCCGATCCAATTTGGTCGTAAAAAATTTAAAAAAATTTTTTGTTGGAAAAAAATTTGTTTTTGTTTCCCCCAAAAAAAAATTTAAAAAGGGAAAAAATTTTTTTAAAAAACCTTAACCATAAAGGAAACCCATTAAAAGTTTTTTTGGTTTCATAAAAAAAAACCTCCCGTTTAATGGGGGTTTGATTTTTCCGCCCTTTTCTGTTAAAATTTAACATTTCAAAAAAAGACTGTAAAAATTTAAATTAAAAGGGTTTTCATTTAAGCAAATGTTAGTTTTCGTTCAATAAATGTTGGGGAAACCTTTTTAATTTATTTCCCATAAAAAAACCATAACCATAAAAAACGTTTTGGGGGAAAAACTAAAAGCCCAAAAACGAAACCTCTTTCCTTTTGGGGTTTTTAAAAGGCCTTTTTTTTTTTTTTGTTTTATAAAATTTTCCCAAAACATCCAAAAAAGAAAATTTTCCCCAATCTTTTCACCCAAAATCTTATTTCCAAGGGGTTGCACAAATTTTTTAAAAGAAACTTTCAATTTAATGACAAAATATTTCCCCAAACCAAAAACCCAAATTTTCCCGGTCGGGTTTAAACCCTAAATTTTTCCCTGTTTTTTAATTCCCGCATTTAAATTAAAAAAATATTTTTTTCCCTTTTAATTTTCATCAAAAAAAATTAATGTTTAGTTTAGTTATGAAAATGGAAATAAAATACCATTTGCAGGGTTTTTGGGAATCAGTATATTTCTTTAAGTAAATTGGAATAAAGGGAGGATAAATTAGAAAAAATTTTGAACCCCAAAAATCACAAACCCCAATCTAGGGAAAAAATTCCCGGTATAGGGACCCCTTTTTCGGAAAACTTTTTGAATTTTTAGATGCGAAACCAGGGGAAAGGGGGCTAAAAGGGCCATACCCCCCCAATTGCAGAAAAAAAAATTTAATAAAAATTTAAAAAAATTTAAAATAAAAATTTGGGATAATAAAAAATTTGTATTTGCATGATTACGACTTTGGATATTCCCATTAGGGCATCTTGGGTGAACGTGATGTTGGACTTCTTTCGAGGGGTCCCGAAAAAAAAGGGAAAAAAATTCAAGAAGAAAAACAGAAAAAAAAAAGGAAGTAAAGCTGAAAGAAAGATCACAGACATGCTCACAAAACAATTTAAGTTCCCATTACAGTTAAAATCTGCAGATATAATCTACGGGAAAGCCCCCCCCTCCTTTAAATTTCCAGCCCTTTCTATTTTTTGGTGCCCTCCTCTCAATGTTTTTAAGGGGACTTTTCATCCACGGGTTTTTTGTTTTAAAAAAAATTCCTCAATGGAAAATTTGAAATTTCCCAAAATTCCTCCCGACTTTTCATTTGCAGAAAAACTTCAGTCAAATTGAACTTTGACTTTAGGAAATCAAAAGGGATTTATGATGAGGGAAAAGTGTCGTTTTTTAAAGTCATTATTTTTTTATGGAAGCTTGCAAATTCAAAAACGTGAAAAGATCAGGGAATTTTATACTCTCACGCGAAATGATCCCAACACTTTCTTTGAAAGCCCATTTTGAAAAATTTTCATTCTGCTTTTACCCAAAATTTAGCAAGTTAAAGACCAACAGCAATAAAAAGGAAGCGAAGCACCACTTAAAATAAAAAAGGGAAAATTTTTAAATTTGGGCCTTTAATCTGTGTGTTTTGGGACTGTGTACGGGAAAGGTTAAATCCCACAAAAAAGAAACTTCAAAAATTGAAAATGAAATGGCTCTTTGCAAACCCTCTATGCACTTAGGGGAAATTTTTGAAAAACTAAATTTTCCGCAAGGGAAAAATTTTTTGAAATGTTTGAAGAGAAACCCAAAAAATGCGGGAGAAAGAAAAAAGGTTACCGGGCGATCATCACGGTCGGGAAAGGAAACCAATTTTAAAGAGCCAGACAATGAAATTGTTTGCTCCCAAAGGGCAGAATGTAAGACGCTCCCAAAACCTTCGTAAATTCGGATTCACTGATTCCCAAAATTTGGGTGAAAAGAAAAGAAATCTACCAGAATCCCCATGACAATTTTTGGGTTTCTGTTCAAAATTAAAAAAAATATGCCAGATCAGAATTGAAGAAAACGCATTAAAGTTGCAACAACACCTTTCAAGCCAAAATGTTTTAAGGGGAAAAATTTGTTGAAGAAAATTTAATTTTTTTTGGGGATAAATTTGATTAAAGGGGTTTCCCCTTGAAAAAGTGCCCCTCCGTGCTTTGAAAAAATTTAAAAAATGCAGGTATTCAGAAACCTTCCCCAATTTGGGCTAGTGTATCGCCTTTTTCCTAAAACTTCCAGCTACTAACTGTTTAAAGGAACGTTTTTTTTCTGTTTTGAAAAAAAGTGAAAAAAACCGCTCCTTTTAACAATGGCCAAGACAAAAAAGTGTAAACCCCAGGTTTTTGAAACCCTTGAGGGCTGATTAACAAGAAAAATTTTATTTTTAGAATTTAATTATGATTTTTTCCAAAATGAAATAAAAAAAAAGTTTTTTAAGAAGTGCCTGTGGAAATATAAAAAATTCTTTACTTTCTTGAGTTTATTGATTTGATAGTTTTTTGATGCTGCAATAAACAATAATGGGCAGTGATTTTTAAGGGGGAATTTAAAATGTGATGGTTTGTGAATATAAAAGGTACATGATGTCACTACTTTAATACTAATCTGTAATATAGCTGGCCCTTTAGTTTATTCTCCCTTTTAAAAACATGATTTTCAAAGGGTATTATAAAGGCTGGTTTGGGAAAAAAGGGTTTTTTTTGGGTTTTCTTGATGTACTTTCCCTATTAAATTTATTTTAAATAGGCCCCGAAAAATTAAATTTTAATTTTGATCTTAAACAGGGTCCAAAACTGCCCCCCCCCCCCAAGCGGAAGGGGGCGCTTCGCTTACCCTAACTCAAAAGGGGGCCCCCCCCTAAAAGCCTGGAAACCCCCCGACCCTTTTTAACCAGCCCCATTGTGAAAGGTGGAGGGGGTTTTTTGACCCTACTGGGTGAGATGGGGTAAGGTTTTTTACTAAATTTTAATTTTTATCGTGTGCATTTAAAATTTTGTAATGGGTTTCTGGGCCCCTTTTTACCCTGTGTACATTATAAAAGGGTGATGGTTTTAAGGGAATTTATCAGGTTTTGGACCCCGTTTTTAAAGCACTGTTCTTTATTTGGGCAGGGTCCTCTTCAGGAAAAAACTGGGTAGTTTTAGGGAACAACAGGGAAATGCTCAAAATAAGCTGCAAAGGTTAAATGTTTTCTTTAGGGGCTTTTTTCATCTTATTTTTTTTTGGTCCCTTTGGGATCTGTGCAATGAGTTGCCCACTTTCCCTGGAATACGGGTTTCATCAAACAGGTTTTTTAAAAGGGTTTATTTTCATTTTCCTTTTAACTTCAAAAAACCTTTACCGGACTCTCCTTGCCCCCTGAACTATTTCCCCAAACTGACTTGAAAAGGGGTGAAAACATGAAAGAACAAAACAACCCTTTCATTTTAAACCCCTTAAAAAAGTCCACAGTAATATACTTTAAAGTGCGGCAAAAGGGCCCGAAAAGTAGATCAATGTTTTATTTTTCATTCCCTCAAATTTTGGGTTTTATAGGTCTGAGTTGCCTTTGACATGAAGAAAAATTGTGCACTCTGTGGCCCCACTATGAAAAAAAATCCCCGGGGGCACTTTTTACCTTTGAGACACCCTTCAACGAGTGCCACTAGAGCAATTTTCATGGGAAACACCAAAGGATTTATATTCATGTCAATTAACAAAATCACATTTTTTTTGAGGGAAAGTAAAAAAAAGGTTTGATAAATTCACGAGTGGGTTTTGGGTGGGTTTTTCAGTTGGGCCTGAAATGCTTGTTTTAACCCAGGGCAGATGTTGGGCTTCTTCTTTTAGTGGATAAAGACCTGACTAATGGGTCATTGGCTAAAAACTGGGGGGTACATTGGGGTGCTTTGCATGGGCCCGAAAATG